TGGGGGTTTTTAAGAGGAGGTTGGATGACCACCTTACTGGGGTCATTTGACCCCAGTGCTCTTCCTGCCATGGCAGGGGGTCGGACTAGATGATCTGCTCAGGTCCCTTCCGACCCTAGAAGCTATGAAACTATGAAACTATGAAACACAAACTAGTAAGTCTTGGAAGGAATGGGTCCTTTCCTTTTTCGTGTTCTTGTGATAAGCTATTTAGCAGAATTCACAGATTCATTGAAATCTGGCAGAGTCACACCATGAGCACTTCTGCTATGGCCTCAAACTTGTGACCTGCCAACCATATGCCTTGGCACCAGCACCAGCACCACCCCAGCCCCTACAGGAATGGTGAGCCAATAAAAAAAAGTTATAAATAAAAATAAAGTGTATAAATGTTAACAGAGCCATTCAGCCCTTTGCAAGAGGAAGGGTTTTGCAAGCAATAAGAAAGACAGATCTAGTATTGAGCTTTTGCAAGAAATCCATCTGCAGGCCAGGCATGGAAAATATCTAAAAAAAACCCCCATTATGTGGTAGGCACAACCACCACATTGCTTCCCAAGACCGTTAAATAGTAATGTGGTAGTGCTTTTAAGGGCTAAACATATCCTTTTTGTATTAGAAGACAGAATGGTAGATAAAGAAAATAGATACATTTTGATTAAAGAACATTTAAAGGAGAAATTAGTAACGATTAGTAACAACTGCCTTCTAGTTGACTTTGGTTGGGAGCATCTTTCTTTTTACAGTTTACGGAGTTCTTAATATATTTGATATACCTGGTGTTAGGAAATTGGGGCTCAAAAACTAACAGTATTCTCAGAGATTGAACAGAACTCTGCTTTACGACCCTGAAGGGTAAAAAAACCCAACACAAAACCCCCCCCCCCCAAAAAAAATCCCCAACAACCTTATTTGTGTATTTTCAAATGAAGAGCAAATAGATAAAAAAAATCTATGCAATGCTGGCTAAGCAGAGATGACAGGCATCTTTAGCAGCAAAATTTCCCATTAAAAAAAAAAGAAGAACCAAGGAGAAATGTATTTGACAGATGCCCTATCAACCCTAAAAGAATGCCCCTTTTCAAACTCTGTATTGCATCCTTTCTGAATGCCCTCTTTGTGCATTTAGTGGAACGCTAGTGGATCTGTATAGTACTACACCTGAGGCAATCAGCTGGCTGCAAAATTTTGGCCATAAAATTGTGACTATTTCTCTTTACTCTCTGATCACTGTCATCAAATGCTAAATAAATAAGGAAGCCCTAGAATAAGCATAGACATTCCAAAATGTGAGCGAGTGAGCGAATGAGTGAGAAAATATTGGAAGCTAAAGGTATAAACTGTGTCTCTTACAAATTAGTAAAGCAGAACAGACTCTAAAATACATAATACAAAACTATTATGAAAAGGGCGATAGAGCACAAAGGCTTCTAGCTAGAAAGATTTAAGAAAAAAAAAAGAAAGAACAGTATGGCAATCCTGTTGATTAGAAATACAGCCCCCCACCCCACCTGGTGCCACTCACTCCTGACGCACAGCCCCCCCAATCCATGCCAGTACCTCTCATTCCCACCCTCCCATCCCTTCTGGTGTCCCTCACTTTTGACCCACTGCCTCCTGCAACCCCCAGCCCTGCTGCAGGGGGCCCCCAGCTGCCAGGGCTACAGGAGCAGGGCTAGGGACTGCAGCCCCCTGCCCCCTCCCAGCAACGCCTGAGCCCCAGCTACCACACAAGGGAAGTGGCAGCTGCTGCAGCCAGAGCAGAGCCTGGATTCACCATCCCCCACTACCCCGTGGGCAGGATGGCCAGGGTGGAACTCAAGAGGGGTGGGGGCAGGCTGCCTGCTGCAGGGCTTAGGGTTCCCTGCCCTGCTGCCCTCCCCTCTGGGGGGCCTCTGCGGGCCAGCGGGCAGGATCTGGTGCAGGATGACAGAGAAGCTCAATGTGCTGCCATTACTGCTACTGGGAGCCCCAAACCAACTGTGCCACCATGGTGAAGCACCCCATGCCTGCCCAGCAGCAGCAGTAGCGTGGCTAAGACAGGGCTCCTGGCAGCAGCACTGAGCCTCTCTGCCCTCTGCGCTGGGTCCTGCCTGCTGGCCCACAGCATCCCCCAGAGGTTGGCTCAGGGTGGGTGGGGAAGGCAGCATGGCAGGGAGCCAGGACCCCACAATGAGCAGCATACTCCCCTGCCCGGCACATAAATCTTGGGGGATACATGTCCTCCCATGCCCTGCTCCCCGGGAGTCTGCACAACAGCAGGGAGCCAGTGCCCCAGATGAGCCTCCCGTAGCTCCATCCCACTCTCCAGCTGGTCCTGGAATCCTGCCCTGGTTGGGTACTGCCTGCAGCCCCAGGTGCCAACCCTGCCCCACTCTTTCCCTCACCATAGTGCCCCCTTATCCCACTATGCATTTTCTATGGCCCTGCCCCTCCTGTCAGCCTGCAAGGGAAAACCTGCACTTTTTCACATTTTTCCCCCTCAAAGAAGAAAATCCACATTTTTCCACAGTGAATGGAAAACCTGGATCCCTGATGATAACTAAATACATGTGACCAACATTTTCTACAATAAACTGTTCTGAAAGAAGTACAACCTGTCCCTCCAACATTTTTGTGGGAAATAAAAACAAAGAATCATGTTCAGGTATTTTTAAAGGTATTTCCACGATTCCCGTTACTTACAGTAAGCGTTGACATGTATTTGCTTAGAAGCTGGTCCACCGCTGGTTGTGAAATTAAAGGAGTCAGGCAGTTTACATCCACTTCTGGGGCCAGTTCCAAATTTCCCATCATCTCTTCACTGAATTGAAAGAAAAAGAAAACATACTGCAAATGAATAAACAAAAAGTGATTTCATAGATTTCATAGACATTAGGGCTGGAAGGG